CTCCTTTAAGACAGTGACCCTGTCACTCCTCCAGGTGGTGTTGTGAAGAAGCCAGCCAGTGCAAAAGGTTTGGCAGATGCTGAGCTTGACTGGCCTAAGAAGGTGGGTGGGTGCTGGGCCAGGTGGAGGTGCCTGTCGATGGACACTCACGCCTTTGTCTGAGCCCCCGCCTTGCCCAGGTCACAGCAGGATTCTGCTTCAGGGGAGGGGTTTATTAGAGCCACGAAGGAGGGAAGGAGCACCGTGTCCTCAGCTCAACCTGGAGACTGCCCTCTCCTAAATCCTAAGTGCCATCCACCCCTGCTGGCCGACCTACTCCCCAGACATGGGACTTCCTTTTCCTTGCCCTGCTATCTCCTGTGCTATTGTCTGCTTAGGAACTTGAGCATCAGAGGGAAGCAGTCTTGAGAACCCATTCAATGGTCTATGATCCTCACCTGCTTCGGGAAACAGGCCTGAACTGAGGAAGGAGTTGAGGTCAGGGTCATGAAGGTGCTTTTCCCTTCACTGACCTTTCACCATCACTCTCATCGAACTTCTCTGGCCTCCTTTCCTCCCCCACCCGCACTCCATGCTGCTCTCCTGCTCCTCGAGCAGCTGCCCTGGTAATAACCAAAAGATGCCCCCATCCCAGAGCAGAGGTGGGGGTGGGGGGCTCAGCAGCTGCTTCTCTGAGGAAACTGACACCAAGGCCAGCCGCTCAGCAACAACTTGTGGCTTTGCACCCAGCCCTGGGCCCCCACCCACCTGGCTGCCGCATGCCAGCTCCCTGCTGTCTCTTTTCCCCACTGCTCCTCAGACTTCCCTCTGACCCTGGCAGCTCTATTTCTGCTCCCCTAGCTCTGTTCTGTCCTTAATTCCCCTAGACCTGTCCCCATGCTTTTGGTCGGGAGTCTCTGCTTTACCAGCTTCCCCAGGCTCCTTGATGCCATGTCCCTCATGCTGCTTCTGATGGGGTGTGCCCAGGGCCTGAGCACATAGCTCTGATCCTCACTCCCTTGAGGACAGATAGTTCACAGCCAGGTGGAGTGCAGACTGCAAGCCATCTGGGGTCTGCCAGGTAAACCCCTTAGGTTAAAGAGAGCACAGTGTGGGATGGAGGTGACCCTTATTCTATGGCTTGGGGTGACCCACACCCCTATCCTAAAACGCTTATCCCTCCTCCTCTGCCATCAGCACATTCTGTAGCCTCTTGGGTTACTTTGCTGCCTGGGTATCCCGTTTTCTTGGGGGGGTGGTATTCACTGTTAGGAATGGGGGGGGCCTTGAAGGCTGTGTTCTCAGAGGCTGAGTTAGACTGATGGGGGCGGGGGGAGTTTAGGGGAGAGACAGGCAGTCCTGGCTTTGCTCACTAGGGCCTGGACACTAAATCCCTTGTTGATGGCTGTAGCAACCCCTCCCTAGGGTAGGGTTACCATCCTCTACCCTGTCCCCTTGACCCTCTCCCCTCCCTGCTTCCTCTGGTCCCTCTAGAGCTACTTCCTTTGGCCCACAAAAGATGTTCTCCCCCTCTTCAATCCCCTGAAGGTTGGAGTATCTCTGCTGCCCTTTCAGCAAACTAGGTGAGGAAGGAGACTGGCAGTAGAAACAAGTTTAGGGTGGATGAGGTGGGAAGAGGGGTTGTGAGGAAGGTGAAAGGTAAAGAAGGGCTGAGAGTAGAAGTGGGCTCGAGAGAAGAACTGGAGGGATGAGTCTGGAATAGGAAATAGGAAATTCAGTGCAACTGAGAAAGCCTGGGCAACTGGGGAAGGGGTCAGTAGCAGAAGACAGACAGTGAAGTCTCTCCCTGCCCCCACCCCTTCCCTGGGGCTGGGGCCACCTTAACTTCCCTTATGAGTGACATCTCAGGCTGCAGCCCCACTGTTCCCCCTCTGTCAGCAGAAATACCTCTCTCTTCTGACCCCTCCTGCTGGAGTCTCGGCCAGCCAATCCCTGATCTGGGGGAGGGGGGAGTGTGGCCCCCCCCTCACTCCCTCATAAGGACCAACTGGGGACTGGGCGGGGGGGTGGCCGGCTGCTGCAAGTGGGACTGGGATCAGAGCTTCGTGGAGGGAAGAAAGCCCTGGGGGCGGGGACAGGAGAGAAAAAGGAAGAAACCCAGACAAACAG